AGGCAGAAGCATTTCAGAGCTGGGTCATAATTCTCCATGCTCCCTTCTTCTGCCAGGGTGAACTCATGGTGAACTTGAGAAAAGATGCAACAAGGTCAAAGCAGCCAAAAATTGTTGGACACAGAGAATAGCTACAAAGAAAGCTGCTGAGACCTGCAGATAATTGAGCGGGAATAAACTTCTGTCCTGTTAAACCACTGCTATTTTGGTGTTAATATTTCAGCATAACCTAGCCCACCCTGGCTGATGCACAGCCCACAAATAGCACCTCAGGAAATCTCATCAGGCCCTCTCCATCACCATATACTCATCATTCAACAAATATCTTTTGAGCACCTACTACGTGCCAGATCATATTACAGGTGCAGGGATTGAGGAGTAACAGCAAACTTACTGACAGTAAAGGACAAAGCCAAGTCTTTGGACTCATGAAGGTTACATTCTAGTCAAGGAAGAAAAATTATCAGTAAGTTTGTTAAGAATAGGTTTGGTTGAGTATAGCAGAAAACCCAAATATTATCAACTTAAGCAAATTACAGGTCGAGTTTCCCTCACATAAAATAAGACTGGGTGTTGACAATTCAAAACTCATAGGGTGGCTCTAGAATGTTATGGGAACCCAAACTTCTCCAATCTTTCTGATCTACCATTCTGAGCATGTGACTTCCACCTCCCAGAGCACCTCGTATTCCAAAGTGGCTGCTACAGCTCCATTCCTTTCATCCACATTCAAGCAGGAAAAAAGAGAAACGAGGAAAGGCAAGAAGAGGTGCCTCTCAACTGAGTCGGGCTCCCTTAAGTGCTTTCCCTGAAGCCCTAGCCCATAGCTAAGACGTACAACAAACTGGCTACTCCCACCTTCAAGGGAGATTGAGAGGGAAATATAATCCCAGCTGGATATATTTTTGCCACAAAGAAAATAAGGTTCTTGTAAGAGGTACATAAATAAGGATTTCAGCTGGTGATAAGTATTTTGAAGGGAAAAAAGTCATTAAAAAATGGATAGAGAGTAACTTTACCCAGGGTGAGGAGAAAGGGCTTTCTAATCAGGTGGCATGGAGTAATGGGAAGAAATCTTCCATGGAGATACCTGGAGAAGGGAGCCTCAGGCAGAGGGTACAATGAGTGCCAAGGCCTGAAGCACTGAGGAATAGACCCCTGCTCCCCACAGTGAGTGGAGTTGAGTGAGTAAGGGAGAATATGGGGGGACATGAGGGCAAAAAGGCAGGAAGAAACTAGGTCAGGAAGGACCTATCTCACTGTGATAAGGATCAAGTGAGTAAGTGAGGGGTAAGCAGGGAGTGACATCATAGGCTCTTTAATTCTGTCATTCTTTGTGCTGTTGGGAGCTGGTTTGCAGCGGGGTAACAGTGGTGATCAGTTAGGACACTGATTCAGGCATCCAGACAAGAGACGATGGTGCTGTACCTACTACAGTAGGACAGATGGGCAGTGCTAAGGATGCAGCTGTGATCAGCAATCATACATTTTGTAAACCCCATTGCCCTTGACGAGTAATTTTTTCTCCCAGAATTTGGCTGCTCATCTGCAGGAAGCAAAGCATGTTCAGAGAAAGTTAGGTTTTTCCAGAACTGGAGCCTGGCTGGGAAAGTATGATGGACTGGGGCCAGAGGAGGCTCGGAAAGAAGGTTGTTGAGGCATGTCACTGAAATGAGGGACACTGGACACTAAGCAGGATGGGGAGGCAAGTGATGAAAGGCAGAGGCTGAGGATGGGAAGCACCCAGCTCCGGGGTCAGCCACTTCCTGTTTCCCACCTGCAGCTAATGCTTGGCTTCTGCCTCTCTGCCCACTTTCTGCAGATGGACACATGGCTGGACTATCTGCCTGGCACCTGGTGGCCAGTAGCACCCAGGCCCCCTCCCTCAGATCACCCTTGGCCCCATACGCTGCTGCTCATTCATTGGTCCTGCCCTACCCTTACTCAGCTCAAGTGTTGGGCTCCCAAGTGCCTTGGAAGACAGAGCAAACTCTACTTACATAGTTGAGCATAACAGCTGAAGGCAGGCTGTGGGTTCAGACCCAAGCTCCTCCACCTTCCTGCTGTGTCACTATGAATAATTAGCTAGCCGTTTTGTGCCTTAATTTCTTCATCTGTAAAATGAGGTTATTAATAAGACCTCACAGGGCTATTGTAAAAATCTAACAAATTAACAAAAAACGCTCAGAAGAGTACACAGCACACAGTAAAGCTCTCAATTACAGTTACCCCATGTTATTATTTATCATCTTCCTGCATGACTCAGATCAAACCTCACTCCCTCCCAAAACCTCCCCTCCCTACCCCTGCCTTCCTTTATCTACTGTCTCTAACTCATTTTATACTTACTAGTCATGATCTATGATTAGCATCTTACAACATGCAGTCCTGGTCTCTAATTGTGGGTATCACTCAGCATGTCACTCGAGCCCACACTAATTACGGTATGCTAATATATAAAATCCCGCCTTGTCCTAATTCTTCACGCACATGCTTAGTGCTTCTCTCTAGGAAAATATACTAGGAGATCCCCCTGAGCCAGCCGTATACTCCTCTCACATCCTCATGGTAGAGATGCAGTGCTAGCCACGTAATGCAGATGCACCAGGTACTAGGGTCCTTTCATCCAGAGGATTCCAGAAACCCTATGCATCGGGGGAAACAAACACAAGTGGGAACATGCTTCAGAACCAGAACTTGGTTATACAAATCTCTAGTTAAGCCAACTGTTCTCTGGGCTGGGCCTTTGCTACCCCAGGGAGAGTACTGTCATGCACTATCCTCTTAAAAGCCTCCAAAAGACTTCAAGAAATAGCCCGACTTATTCAAGACTGAAAACTACAACTGTGGCCTGATGATCAGGTTCCCAGGGCCAGCTGGGGTAGCTGGCCCTCCAAACGAATGAGGTCTTCCAGACCATTAGCCCAGGGCCTCTCCAGCTAGAGAGAGGAAAACTCAAAGCAGAACTGTGAGCCTGCTGAGAAGCTGCCCCCTACAGAACCTGCTCTCCGTGGCTTTGGGGGGCTGCCTAAGAAGAAACAGCCTGGTGCAGCACTGCTGAGGATGTCCGCCATGCAAGCAGACTGGCTTGCCCATCAGAGAGCCTCCTGGCACATCCTCTTAGCACAGCTAATTCTGCTGACGGGCAGCGGGGACTGAGGGTAAAGAGCCAGAATCTGCAGCCAGACCAGCAGAATTGAAACCCCAGCTCTGCCATTCCCTGGCCGCGTGGTTCTGAGCTACTTTAACCAATCTCAATTTCTTCATCTGGAGAGTGGTAGCTGTAACAGCCCCCGATGCTTCCGGTTGTCATGAGGATTCTGAGGCATCCATGATGCCCATTAAGCAGCTAGAAATCCAGGTCTGGAGCTGAGCAGAGGAATCAGAAATGCAGATAAAGAGCTGGGCAGCCCTGAACGTGGGTCCAGGTTAGAATTGAGGCTGTGGGTAAGATGGTCAAAGGAGACAGAACTGCCTAGAGAAAGAGCCAGGGAGGAAACTTGGTATATCTTTAAGAAATGGGCTCAGTGATGGAAAGCAAGAGGGAATCGGGGAGAACGAGAAAGTGGTGTAGAAGCTGAGTCCCACAAGACCTAGGAAACACAGCACAACAAACTGGTGCTGGCGCTGTCATCTTTCTAGCCTCACAAGCCCTTTCGACCTGACCTCCGCTGAAGGGAAAGTGGCTGTGCTGGTCATTGTCTATTCTCAGGTCCGTTGGCTGCCCTTCCCTGTTCCGCTTGACTCCTGCAAATTATACTCCTTGGGCTCCTTAGCCAATTGCCTTCTAGTTAATTTCTGCCCAAGAGAGGCACTGGTAGGAGACTGGGGAGAGGAGTAAAACCCAGGTTATCCTCCCCACTGTCTTTCTCCATCCCTGGCCCCAGCTCTGCCTTCTGTGGCTTCTCAGCAGACCTGTGCTTTTGGTTCCCTGAGGTCTGGGAACATTCCCTCCTGTCTCCTCGGTCCCTCCAGCTGTGTGTGGGTGGGGAGGAGCAGCTTGCTGGTGTTGCTCATCTCTGCGTCAATTCACCAGCCCATGTGGCTCTTCAGCGCTTCCAACACCTCCAGTTCCCATATGAATTTGAATTCCCTCTATTGAAATGGCTGGTGCAGGCTCTCTGGTCCTTGCTGGTCCCTGATTGATAAGCACGTAATGATAATGCATCAGTTCCTCTCCCCACGACTTATTTTAGGCTTCAAAATCCTATTCTGGTTCAGATTATCCAAACTGATGTTAACAAAGCCTTTGATTTAAAAATTACGGGGAAAAGTAATTTTAAAAGAGGCAGTAAACAAAGATAAAAACTGAAATAAATAAATTGTAAAACATAAAGCTGTAGGATGATAAATTAGTTCAAATGTTGGTTTTTTGATAAGAATACTAAAATAAACAAACATCTGACAAATATAATTAAGGGAACATTTTTAATTAGAGATGAGAAAGGAGACAGGACAAAATACAGAAAATAGATTTTTCCCCCTCCAAATCCAAAGAAAATGTTACGCACACTAATAGGCTAATAAACTGAAATTGTCAATGAAATGAATAATTTGAATAAGATACAGATTACTAAAAATAACTCAAGGAATAGAAATCTAAACAGAATAATACACAAGGAAGGAACTGAGGAAATTACTTGATAACAACCCAAAGAATGCAGTTGGTCCCAATGTTTCCACCAGAACAATTTTCATACTTTTAAGACACAGATGATTTCAATGTTGTATAAAACACCCAGACTGCAAAAAGAGATAAGAGTACATTTATGTCCATTAGGCAAGCATGATCTTCTTCCTAAAATCTGATAACGATAAAACACACAAAAAGAAAATTATAGGCACATATCACAAGTGAATATGGATAGGAAATGCTGAAATAAAACCCTCACTCTAAAAAGAAACTTATTTTACTGTAATGCTTCAGATCTTTAGAGGGAAGATAAGTTGGTTTTCGTGTGTGCGTAACAGCTTCACTGAGATATAGTTCTTATGCCATAAAAAACACAGAACACTTTATGAACTTGTGTGCTATCCTTGCACAGAAGCCAGACTAATCTTTTCTCTGTCTTCCCAGTTTTCGTGTATGCGCTGCTAAGGAGAGGACAAGGGATGATTATAAGTTAAGATGGAAGAAATTATGAAGGATGGACAGTTTGTACATTATAGAAACAACCATTGCACAAAACTAGCATAACTAAAATCAGAGGGAAAGTATCCCCTGGAGAAGACACTCACAGTAAATATAACATATTTTGTTATATATTGGTCCCAAAACATGAAGTTCCCAGTAGGTAAACCAGCCAAGAGCTAGAGAAGACAATTCATAAAAACAGAGACACTAGTTGTAAACAGGCATCTGGGAAGACATTCAGCTTTGCCCGTAATCAAAGAAACGCCCCTTCAAATAATGTGGTAGCATCTTACACTCACTACATTAGAGAAATGTAAGGAGCTATCCAGTATTACCACACCATGGTAAAACCCTGCACACGCTGTTCGCAGCCACAAAAACTGGTATGGCCTCTTGGTAACACATATCAGGAACCATCTTAAAAAGTCCATAACATCTCTTTAATCCTTAGGAGATTTTAAAGGACAAAAATTAAAGCTACCTGAGATGTTCATGGCAGCAACGCTCTAACAACCTAAGAAAGTAAATAAAGAAAAGACAGCCTAAGTCCAACAGCAGCAGGACGATTAATGAAGGGTTATAAATCACTGTTTAGAGCTATAATAAAAACTACAGTTTATCAAGCACCCTCACGTACATGGCTCCTTTCAGGCCTCAACGATCCCAGGATACGGAAAGGCTGAGACTCAGAAAAATTAAATGACTTGCACAAAATCACACAAGTGGCTCTCAAACACCTGTAATCAAGCTCCAGTTTCTCTTGAAGTTAAACTGCGTGGTTATGAATTATCTGCTCTGAGCCTCAGTTTCCTCACCCACAAAACAGGGCTGATAAAGAGTACCTCAAGGGTGGCCATGAACCCTTAGCACAGGGGATGGCGCGCAGTAGCTCTCGGTACATTCTGAGGATGATGATCACACGAAGTCGTATCGATTTAATATGATTACAGTGACGTAAACACGTCTGCAAGTGGAGGAGGACCAGGAAGAGTAAGGAATCATGAAAAATGGCTGCTGCATCAGCAAGGCAACAACAAAAACATCACTTCTCTTTTTCAAATTATTTTGTTTTTAGTGCAAGTAGAAATCTGGAGGGAAACAAAGTTAGAATACACGAGAAAATCTCCTAGAAGGAACTGGCAGCTTTTGGGGAGCCTCATATTGGATTTGAGATTGCTGCTTCTGGGACACTTGAAATAACCAGCTCCACATACACACCCTGGAGATGCTGCATGGCCTGAGGGACTGGCCAGGGGATGGCGCTGTTTCACTTACCCAAGGGCCCAAGGAGGCATTTATTGGCCTCAATAATACACCAGTGCTAGCCATTCAGTCTTCCTTAAAGATGAATTCTTTCTTTCTTTTTTTCTTAACACAGACCCAGAAGCATCTCAAGCAAACTCCAGGTAGTTGGGAAATGGATCCAAGTCCACTCCTGATGGACAGCAATGTCCCAGAGGAGATGCTTTGCTCTGAGACAGGTCATCTACAGGGCGAAGGAGAGCGTGGTTGCATCTCCCTTTGGTCATGTGACCAGAATCTACCATCAGTGTGCAGGAAAGACTTGGCTGGTGCTAGCCCCCAGGTTTTAAACCGACACATTGGGAACACTTCGAACCACTGGAGAGACAGGCTTCAGAGTAATGAGGAAAAGAGCCAGAGGTATCCCTCAGCTTTTCCTCCCAAAAGTCAGTGAGCCTGAAAATCTCCACGCAGTAAGAAGGCATAGGTGGAAAGTAGCTCCACTCTCAGTGCCTCATCGTGACAGGCTTGTGACGAACAGGTGGGAATTGGTGTAGCTGACACACAGAAATAAGTCGCTCCAACTCGAATCGTGAGCAACTGCCTACGTGAGTCAGAACTTGTGCAGCTGGTATATGAGCTCCAATAAAGGAAGTGACAAGTTCAACAAAGGATATAAATTCAGAAGAGAAATGTCGGGGGATGACACAGAACCCAGCTCGACCAGAGGCTGAATCACACGGAGCTCAGACTCAGGTCCAAACACTACTCCATGTGGGATGTCAAACAGGCATCTCAGATTTAATGTCAAACACCAAGCTCCAAGTTTCCGCCCTCACCCGCTCCACCCACAGTCTTCCTGTCTCAGGTAACAGCAGTGCCATCCTTCCAAGCCCTCAGCTGGAGTCTCCTTTCTCTCACATCCAATTTATCAGAAAGTCCCATGGGCTCTATCTTCAAGATATGCCCAAATCCCTCCTCTTCTCAGCACCACTCCCACCTCTCGCCTTGGTGCAAACCATCATCATCTCTTGCTGGTCTTGTTACAGCCTCTAACTGGTCTCCACTTCCACCTTTGCCCACCATTCACTTTCTTCTCAATACAACAGCCAGGAGGAACCTCTTAAAATCAAAGTAGGATGATACCCTAAAAGAACAAACCCATAAAAGAACTAATAAATTGAATTTCATCAAAATTAAAACTATTCTTCAGAAGATAATGTTTAAATAATAATAATAGTAATAATAATAAAAAGCAAGCCACAGACCAGGAGAAAATATTTGCAAAATATATCTGACAAAGGATTTGTACCCAGAACATGTAAAGAACTCTCAAAATTCAAAAATAAGAAAATAACTCAATTAAAAAAAAACAACTGGGCAATCTGAACAGACACTTCACCAAAAAAGATACGTAGGTGGCAAATAAGCACATGAAAAGATGCTCAACATGGATAGCCATTAGAAAAACGCAAATTAAAACCACAATACCACTACCCAGCACTTAGAAATAATAAAATTAAAATAACTGATCATGCTACATTTTGGCAAAGATGTGGAGGAATTGGTTCTTTCATACCTGTAATGGGAATATGAAATGATTCAACCACATTGGAAAAGAGTCAGGCAATTTCTTAAAAAGTTAAACCTATACCCACCATATGATCCAGCCGTTCTACTCCCAGGACTTTACCCCAGAGAATAGGAATCATATGCCCATACAAAGACCTGTACAGGAATGTTCATAGCAGCTTCATTTTTAATAGCCCCAAACTAGAAATAACCCAAATATTCGGCGAAATTGGATAAACAAATGGTGGTATACCGTAACATAGAGTACTACTCAGCAATAAAAAGAAGTGAACTGTTACTACAACACAGATGAATACACCGTGCAAAAGAGGCCAGACAAAGGAAGAGTACATACTGTATGATTCCATTTATATAAAATTTTAGGGGAAAAAAATCTAATCTATAATGACAGAAAGCAGATCAGTGGTTACCTGGGGACGAGTGACAGAGAAGGGGGAAAAGAAGTGTAAAGGGAAGGATCACAAAGAGGCACGAGGAAATCTGAGGGGTGCTGGATGTGTCTATTACTCTCTTAATTGGGATGAGGGTTTCACAGGTACGAATGAATGAATGAATGAACAAATAAATAAATAAATATTTAACAAATTGCTACAGGTATCAAAAATAAAAATAGATACACTGGACTAGATCAAAAATTTAAAACATCTGTGCATCAAAGGACCCTGTTAACAGAGTGAGAACAGAACCTAGAGAATGAAAGAAAATATTTGTTAATCCTCTAATGGCAGGGTTAATATCCTACAGTTCAACTATAAAAATAAATAACTTGATTTTAAAAGGGCAAAGGATTTGCGCAGACATTTCTCACAATATGTACAAGTGGCCAAGAGGCACATGAAAGGATGCTCAACATCACTAATCACTAGGGAAATGAAAATCAAAACCACAGTGAGATACCACGTCACACCCATTAGAAGATATGCTATAAAAGAAAGAAAGAAAGAAAGAAAGAAAGAAAGAAAGAAAGAAAGAAAGAAAGAAAGAAAGAAAATAAATAAATAAGTGTTAGTAAGTAAGGATGTGGAGAAATTAGAATGCACTGTTGGTGGGAATGTAAAATGGTACAGCTGCAATGGAAAACAGTACAGCAGTTCCTCAAAAAATTAAAAATAGAATTACCATACGATCCAGCAATTCTACTTCAGGGTTTACACCCAAAAGAACTGAATACAGGGTCTCCAAGAGATATGTCTACACCCATGTTCATGGCAACATAATTCACAGTAGCCAGACTGAAAATAACCCAATTGTCCATTGACAGATGAATAGATAAACAGAATGTAGTATATACAAGCAATGGAATATTTTTCAGTATTAAAAATGAAGGAAATTCTGTCACATAACTACAGCATGAATGGACCTTGAGGACATTATACTGAGTGAAATAAGCCAGTCAAATACTACCTGATTCCACTGACATGAGATACCTACAGTCGTCAAATTCATAGTCAGAAAGTAGAGTGGTCGTTTCTGGGGGCTCGGGGGAGGGGCGAATGGGGAGTGAGTATGGAGTTTTCATTCTGCAAGGTGATGCTGGTCACATGACAATGAGAATGGTCTCAATATTAATGAACTATGTCTTTAAAAATGGTTAGGATGGTAACTTTTATATTATGTGTATTTTACCATAATTTAAAATTTTAAATGATCAAATCACACACTTTAAATATGCATAGTTTACTATTTGTCACTTTTACCTCAATAAAGCTGTTTTTAAACATTTTAACTATATTTCTAAAAACTAGGATTATATCCTTCTTCTGTTCCCTACTGTCCACAGGTTTCCCAATTCATTCAGAAAAAATGCCAAAGTTCTTGGAATGATTCATAAGGCCCTGCATATCTGGCCCTGAAACCAGCACACTCTCATTCCAATTTCTCCCCCCATCACTCCACTCCAGCTGCACCGGCCTCCTTGCTGTTTCTCAAACACACCAGGTGCACTCCCGGGGCCTTCACGTGTCCTGTCTGCTTGGCCTGGAAAGCTTTTCCCCCAGGTAACTTCATCACTCCCTTCCTCACCTCTTCCAAGTCTTTACACAAATGTCACCCTCTCAGAGGGCCTCCCCTGACATGGTATTTAACACTGAAATGCTTCCCCACTCATAAGTCCCCGCCCCCCCTTCCCGGCTTTATTT